GTACATCAATACATCACTGTACAAATTAAGTAAAAATAAGGTAACAGAATCATCAAATTACTCCAGGTCAACCACATAAAAACAACATTCACCTCCTAAATGATTTTTTATTATTTATTTCTATATTTTTTTTTTGTTTACAAAAAAAAAAAACCTCATACTGTATATGTTACTCTTGACCGCGCCGAAATTGAAAACGCAACGCTTAAACAAATAAAAAAAGACGCGCCTAAAACGCCAGACGCGCCTGAAGAAGAAATCGCGTCGAGAACAAACGCTGTGTGTCAAACGAGTAAAAGGCGAGTGAAAGAGAAGAAAAAAAAAAAGACAATCTTCAAGATCCCTAAAAATTCCAAAAAAAAACGAACCATAGATTTTCTCATCTCTCACGCTCCTTTGTTCCTCACTCGCTTTGCTTCTCCCACTCGCCTGCTTCGTGTTCTCCTTTGCTTTGCTCTTTTGACGTTAGAATTTTGCCTTCTCCCCCCATTTTGTCCCTCTCTGGGTGGCCGGGAAAATGCAGGATGACCTCTGAGCAATCCCTCAAGGCTTGAAATTTCTTAAATTTCATGCTTTCTTAGTTCGAATTCTCAGGTTTCATCCTCTAAAGTCTTTATCTTTGATGCTGATACTGTTGAAAGTTTAGCTCTTTCACCGATTTTGTAAAAAAAAAATCTTTTTTTTTTGGGCTCAGAATCGAAACTATTGTACTATTAAGTATGTTTCGAAAGTTCGTCTTTTTGGTTGAGAGGATATAAGCACTGTTCAATGGTTCTTATGAAGTTTTGATTCTGCCAATTTTCAGGTGTTAAGGTAGATTATGTAGTGGAAAGATTTTAGTTTCCAGTTTCATGGGAGCCAATGGTGGGATAGTTGCTTTTGAGTGTGTTAGTGAATCCGAATGTGGCTAACTTGAGGATGGATTTGCAAGAGAATCAGGTTAGTGATGCAGGGGATGAATGTATGGTTGACATTATGGTTGAGTCGAATAGCAACAGAGATGTAGGAATTGTTGATGATCTCAAAGCTGGAGGAGATCTTGGCTTTAGTGGTGTTCTGGATCTTGAGCCACGAAATGGTATAGACTTTGAATCTAATGATGCAGCGTATCTGTTTTATCAAGAATATGCTAAATCTATGGGTTTTACTACGTCGATTAAAAACAGCCGACGCTCTAAGAAGACTAAAGAGTTCATTGATGCCAAGTTTGCTTGTTCTAGATATGGTGTGACTCCTGAGTCTGAGAGTGGTAGTAGTAGTCGAAGATCGAGTGTGAAGAAAACAGATTGCAAGGCAAGTATGCATGTGAAGAGAAGAGCCGATGGGAAATGGATAATTCATGAGTTTATAAAGGATCATAATCATGAGCTTTTACCTGCCCTTGCTTATCATTTCCGGATTCAGAGGAATGTCAAGTTAGCTGAGAAGAACAACATTGATATTTTGCACGCTGTTAGTGAACGAACCAGGAAAATGTATGTTGAGATGTCCAGACAGTCTGGGGGTTATAAGAATATCGGGCCTCTTCTTCAGAACGATGGCAACAATCACGTTGATAAGGGTCGG